TTTTAAACCTAAGTGATAATGACCTCTAGTGGGTGGTCCTTTTTTGCCCCAAATCTGCATCAGCCCCAATGTATAATAACAAAATTAGTACCGTAGTATTCTTAAAAAGGCTTATAATCTTATCAGTTAGTTCAAGTAGTGGAAGTGACATTCTGCATTAGCCGAATGAGCCGACACGATCGATGGAATACCACTTTCCTAATGAATACAAGCGTGAAGTGGCCGTTGCGGGACGTGTGTCATTTAGTATGTATGGCTCCTGGTAGCTGATCCCCTTCCTCTCCGAATCGTTCCTCCATTCCTCTCGAAATTAAATAGAGTATTTTTACGCCAGGTACCTGCACTTCTGTACTGGAGTATCCGTCGCTGGGTGTGCTCACTCAGGCTATCCCCCGTATTCTGGGGGGAAAGAAATAGTATACTCCTCCCTCAAAGGCCGGCAACGCAGCCACTAAAATAGGGGTGCATGAGCTGGGATAACTTTTCAACCTACTTAATATACGTTTATATTTAGATATGAACAATATTCGATTTAAACATTCATTTAAACATTCTAGACTAATTGGATCATTATTTATACAATCATGAATTAAATTCACGTAATGAATTATTTACGTTAACCTATTGCACCTCCGGCGATGTTTTATTTTAATATTGTATTTAATAGAAAATCTTATTATTCCAGTTGAAATGTTTAAATTTATAGTTTTTGAAATTGTCAGTTTAATATTTTATTGCGCATTGTTACGAGTATATGAACTGTTATTACTAAATTGAACCAATGTCTTTGTGTACTAGAAATGAATAGGTTTAAAAATATGCTTATACAAGTATTTGTGTAAGTGTATTTATAGCAAAATACCAATATTATAACTGAGAAAGTTTGTAAGTATGGATGGATGTTTGTTGCTCTTTCACGTAAAAACTTCTGAATGGACTTTAATGAAACTTTACAATTATATAGCTTATATATATCAGAAATTTGTGCTGTCATGTTTTGTCTCGTTTTACTTTGTATTATATTTTTTTATCAGTGAAACCTTTTTGTGGATATGTCCAATGTGTTTATTTTATTTTTACTGTATACAGATGTATCTGTTTATTTTTTACGCCACGCTAATACTAGGTACTCTTTCCAACTAAAACACACTTTTTGTGTGTCCTTTTAACAAGGGAGGAGGCTATATAATGTCACGCTACCACCAATAGGAACAGAGTATGAATAGTTTGCAAAACGTGTTTTTTATGACAGCTTCTGATGTTTCTGACAACGCTGCGTATACGGCGAAAGTTATGCAAACACTTTAAAACAAAACAAATTAGCTTAAAGATCGGGATAATATTTCAGAATTATGATCCTGTGATGCTGTATGGGTGTGAAACGTGGAAGGTCACTCGCACTGACTTCAAGTCTTCGTCAACCGCTGTCTTCGCCATATTCTGGGTGTCTACTGGCCCAATACCTAACTTTGGGAGCGCTGCGAGGAACCCCGATTAGCTAGCAGATCAAGCGACGCAAGTGGAAATGGATAGGATATACACTCCCAAGAGATTCCAATATCCTCAAGCAGGCACTTGATTGGAACCCTCAAGGAAAGCGGAAGCGTGGCCGTCCTAAACAAACCTGGCGTCGTACAGTTGCAGATGAGGCGAAAAGAGACTTTGAGCGAAGTGAAATACAAGGCTCAAGACCGAACGCGATGGAGACTCTGTGGACACCCCCTGTCCCATCTAGAGGTTATAGGAGTAGATGTCATGATCCAATTTGTAGTTACAGAAACACGTTCGTCATTAGTACGATTCGAACAAAACCTTTGACCTCATTTGATTGCATCAGTTTTAAAATAATAGTAAAATATCACGCGTGTTCATTTTTTGCATAGTAAAATCTTTGAGAATAGCTAGTATTTAATATATTGTCATCATCAACGACTATTCTCCCGGAATTTAAACTTACGACTTCCACTTGAAATTTTCCAAGAAACCCCCGGAATTTGAACCAAGGAGACCTTCTGCTGTGGCATTAACTATTTGTTATAGAACAGGCAAATCAGAGTAGTAGAGTCTACTAGAGAGCAAATGTTAAGTGATAATACCACCCATGGACACTCACAATGGCAGGAGACTCGCAAGTACGTTACCAGCCTCTTAAGAATTGTGACTCTCTTTTTTTGCTCCCTAAGTCAATACGCTTCGGAAATACTTCAACTGGAATCCAGTTGGTTTGAAACCTACTAGACTTGATACTATACCTGTCTAGATGGCGCAAAGCAACTTCATATGTTCTGGGTATAAGGTTTCATATTGTATACAAAAAAAACGAATAAACAATTATAAAATTTATTTGTACATATTTACATTTAATCACTTAAACATAACCATTATAAATATTGAGGAAAAACTACATAGAGTTTCGGATTTCACGCATTTTGGTTATCCAATTACACAAATAATCGTGTGCAATAATTTACTTATAGCGTTCGTGAATCACATTCTTATACGTGCACGTCACATTCGAGATTTAGCGCTAAGTATTACTTCGGTATGTCAAACCCAATGAATTTTTGAACACGGACGTCTCAAAAATTGAATCGAAATTGAAAATTCCAACGATAGACAAAAACGGTTAAAAAATCTAAGTAGTAACCCTGCTTTGCTAGTGTTGGCCTAGTGGCTTCAGCGTGCGACTCTCATCCCTGAGGTCGTAGGTTCGATTCCCGGCTGTGCCACAATGGACTTTCTTTCTATGTGCTTCATTTGCTCGAACGGTGAAGGAAAACATCGTGAGGAAACCGACATGTCTTAGACCCAAAAAGTCGACGGCGTGTGTCAGGCACTGGAGGCTGATCACCTACTTGCCTATTAGATTTAAAAATGATCATGAAACAGATTCAGAAATCTGAGGCCCAGAAAGAGGTTGTAGAGCAACTGATTTATTTATTTTTAACCCTGCTTTGCTAACTTAACTATCAATTTATCAGATTCGCGTTTAATTAGAAATTTGTTTACAATTTTTTTTTATTTTACATTTATACAAAGTCCTTATGCTCACATCCTTGTGCCAGATCTTTCCCTCATTTTGTGAGATAATATAATCTTGGAGAATCTTAAACAAATGACGCAAGACGATACGTTGCGTTCAACTGTCATTTGTCAATCGGAAGTAATATATCAACTGGCATGGACTAGAGACTTTTGACATTGATTAATATATTTTTGACGGATATAGGGTATGTTCCGATATACACTGCGACCACTGTACAGAGTACCGTCAATTTAGTATACTGTGAAACCGTTTCTCTATAGCCAGCTATACTGGTTACAATTTAAAACGGAACGCAGTCCAGTATACTAGTCAGCTTCGTTTTTCGACACAATTTTTAAATGAGTGCATCAAAGTTTTTCAATTCAACAAGAAAAACTATTATTGGAGTTTATTAGAAATGGAATTAGAAAAAAATCTATATTAATATTAACTGTCAATTGAATTAATACTACAAAGAAAGTAAGTATTTTTTAATCAGAATTTTAAATGTTTGTTATTAAACTGTAAGTCTATTCAGCCGTTAGGCATTCAAGTGGTTTTGATTGATCACGTGATCAAAGCACTGCGAGTACCTTACCTCGAAAACGCCAGTGCTCGCAGTAGAAGTATAGCGGGGATTTGTGACGTCATATATTTCCCTAGGACGCTGCGGCTGTATACTGGCAGTCCATAGCGGAACGAATTTTTGAACAGTGGGAGCACTATACAGTACTCGCAGTGTATATCGGAACATACCCATAGACACATGAGTTTGGGCAAGGTTCTAAGTCGAGACTTACAAATATGTCAAAAACTAATTAGGTTTTGAAATACCATGAATGCAGCAACGTCACGATTGCGTCGCGTACGTATCGATTAAACTATACAAAATTCGTTATTTTCGAGATTTGTCAAGATAAAGTCTATTCGAATATAATTTTTAACACAAATATCGAGGATGAACAATGATCATGCATTTGTGCATTAATAAACCTTTAATAATTAACAATATTTACAATAATCAGGTAGAGTTAAAGCGTTTTCGAAATTAACTTTGTATATATTTCAATTTGAGTCTTGGTACGAACAGCTATTGTATAAAATTCGACTGTGATTGGTCTAGTCCCGTATCAAGAGGAATTTAAGCAGATCTAAAAGATTATGGGTTCATTACACGTGGAAGGTCACTCGCACTGACTTCAAGTCTTCGTCAACCGCTGTCTTCGCCATATTCTGGGTGTCTACTGGCCCAATACCTAACTTTGGGAGCGCTGCGAGGAACCCCGATTAGCTAGCAGATCAAGCATCAGTGATTTTGTCTCAATCCCTGCATGCACAGGGTTTGAGACAAAATCACTTTCATACAAATTTACTAGGAAATAATGGTAAAGTAGAATTTTTTGTCAAACACAGAATATGTATTGTAGCATTTTTTTGTCTGTCTCGGAGAGAGCTAGAAGAGGCCTACATGTTCCAGGACACTGTAGACCAAACATATTATATATATAGTATAATGAATGTATTTCTGTAATAAATAAATATTGTGAAAAAAAAGTTGTTTGGCCACAGAAATAAACAGTTTTAATGTAATAGTTTGAAATTGATCCAATTATTATTATTAGAATCAGTCACAAATTTAGCTACTTAACCGTTTTCCCACTTCTGCTCCAGAACAGCGAAAGGTTAGGGAAGAGACGAATGCAAAATTATTTTTTTAAATAGGAAATTTGTTCATAATTATATATCATTATTTTTTGGTATATTTATGCCGTAACCTTTGACCAATCACTATCAAACGCGACAAGACAACATCTTTCTTTTATACTAGCTCCTATTATTCACATTGCATTTCTCTTTATCTTCTATTCAATTTGAATTATTATAGAATTGTTATATAAATATATCGCAAACAGAACCGAACACATTTAAAAAACTTAACCAATAACATCGGTAACAATTTTAACGTGAGTAAACCTTACGAGTTTGTCATTGTATCGTGAAGCTCCTTAACTAGTTCTGCCAGCTCTGCCGCATCGTATCCTAATAATTGCCGCAAATCGCAGACAAATTTGTAGACGAACCTGCAATACACATATAAACATATAGCAACGATATAAGAGTAGATAGGTTATTTGACTATATCATATAGAGCAGTGTTGGCCTAGTGGCTTTAGCGTACGACTCTCATACCTGAGATCGTAGATTCGAGCCCCGGCTGTGCACCAATGGACTTTCTATGTGCATTTACCATTCGCTCGAACGGTGAGGAAACCGATTTGTCTTAGACCGAAAAAGTCAACGGGCATGTGTCAGGCACTTAAGGCTGATTATCTACTTGCCTATTAGATTTAAAAATGATCATGAAACAGATTCATAAATCTGAGGCCATGACCTAAAGAGGTTGTAACGCCACTGATTTATTCTTATTTTTTTACTATATCATATGACATACCTCTTTCCAGGTACCTTGGCGATCATGTCCCCGTCATAGTAGTATCGTAAAGCGCGCGATAATTTCTCATAATTCATCGCCGGCTTGTGTTTCCGTATACCCCATAACGTCGCTACTCTTTCAGGATCTAAGAGTTTGAACTCACCACTTGTACCTGGAATTAAGTTTCGATGTTTAAAAGCAGGGGTTTGGAATTCGTATGGAAATGACTTTAGCTAACGCGTCACGTGACCATTTTCATACAAATTCATTTGCGCGATAGTGGGTCACGCTTTTCGAAAAGTGATTTTGCCTCATGACATTATTGATGTGTATAACAAAGGAAAATAGAGAACTGTAAATAGTTAGCCATAGATTCGCAACATGAAATGGCGGCATTGGGTTGTCACTAAGCCATTGGAAAAATCTTTAAAAATATGTCTTATTTGTACTGAAAAGTATACATGTATTTTTTATCAGTTGTAATATCACTATTAAATAATGGTGGAATATTAAAAAAAATATGGTAGGCTTGGCTTTATACTTAGTATAAAGTTCAAAAACTATATACCGAATAGACCTAAAATATTTAATAGGAGACGAGAATTTTTTGTCTAAATATTATATGTATATCTAACGGAGGAACCGTTGTGACAAACCTAGCACGTACCTTTCGTTAACCTTTAAGTTTTTACCATTAGGTAGCAACAAGTTAAATATGTTTTTCTCTTTCAGTAACTGCAGAAAGAAAGAGACGAATATATATTTGACAGAATACAAATTTATATTAATTTTTAATACTTTTTTGTGACAAATATTGTAGTTCGAGTTTATACAAACGCGGAGTTAAACTTACCTTCCCACCGAATAAGGTCATAGTGTTCAGCACTGGTGAGCAGTTCGAGCAGGAACTGCCATAATTGCACTTGCCCGTTATTGCCCGTTCTAGGCGACATACGGGACCAGTCTTCACTATTTGGCGGACATATTATTACCTGAAATCATAATCATTTTATTCTCATCAGTTTTGTTTTACAACTCACGCCAATTCAAAAACAATAAAAAATTATATTTTATTTCAATTTATCACGAACACAATTTTCAAAATTTAAACAAATCGAATGTAAAAGTTAATGGACATTAATCGAAATATTACAGTATGACGTAGGGTAATTTACACTTATACTATTCTAAACGTAGATAAAAGAAACGTAGATGATTCAGTGGCGCTACAACCCTAGTAGGCTTGGCCTCTTGGCATCCGTTTCTTCAATCTATTTCATAGACAAGTAGATGATCAGCCTTCTGTCTGACACATGTCATTGTTTGTCACCGTGCGATGTTTGCCTTCATTGTAGGCGCAAGTGCTTATTGCTCACATAGATAGTAAAACTCCACAGAGATAGGTGTCTCACGCTTAAGCCACTAGGCCAACACTGCTATAAATGCGTTTAGACCTACTTATTTATAAAAAATATTTTTAATCTAATTGAATAAAGGACTCATCTCTCTCTTTCTCTCTCTCATAATTTGTCAGAAAGAGACAAAAATTATAGTACATAATTAAGATTAAAAAACTGTTTACACTGGTTTTATGAATTCTTTCACCATTAAAATTACATTATCCCAGATGAAACATAGGCTAAAGAATATATATTATCAAACAAATGTCCAGCGAAGCCGCGACAGACAGCTAATATAATATATATGTCAGAGATTATGCTATAAAAGAACACGACGTCATTTGTTTTATAGGAATGGCAACACCACGCAATATTATAGACATCTTACAGGTTGTAAAATGTCAATATGCCAAAGTCAATTTGTCAGTAGTGCGTAGAATCGATCGTTGAGTACTTAAGTTGAGTTGCTATCTGATTGATCAGCGCCTGCGCCGGACGTGCGCGCTGACTGTGTTTTAAATATTAAGTAATAATGTCGGACGGTAGTGAGACCAATTTTGTAATTATAAATCGCGTTGAATCTGCGACATATATCAATCTTCTGTGCGTGATTCTATGTTCTAGTGGAATTGAGAAATGGTTCGATTTACAATTAGATTTGTTTGAGACGTTTGTACAGGACCACCCACGGCTTTCGGATCTGCTAGTAATATGTAAAAACGTTTACCTTATTCGGTTTCCTCTTGATAGCGCATTGTGGCGTTCCTAATACTTCTTTGGTTTGAGGCGCTTCGTTATTTTGTATCACAGCTGTAAAACAATTCAGTTTGTTACGGCAATATATGTTAAAACATATTTTAGTCGAACCGCGTAGTGATACCGCCACCCATGGACATTCACACTGCCAGAAAGCACGTTAGCGCGCTGGCGGCCTTTTAGAATTGGTACGCTCTTTTCTTGAAGGACCCTAAGTCGAGTTGGTTCGGAAATACTTCAGTAGGCAGCTGGTTCCACATAGTGGTGGTGCGCGGCAAAAATTTAATTAAGAAACGCTAATCATTAACATGCAGTAATTAAATACGTATAATATTCTTGCACTCACCAATAAATTTACATTTCCTTAAAAGTTCTAAATGCGTCCAAAATAGATCACCTGGATCGGATGGAACTTTTTCTCTGTAAAAAAGGACAAAGAGCTTATTGAAGCAATAATATATAAATAAGAATACATAAATGATTTAGTGGGTATATACTCGTACAATAGCGAATCCCACATAACCCTCCACAAGTCAGACACGCCGTGGTGAGTATGTAATGTCACGATGTAGTGGTCAGACGACCAACAATGACAGATTTAGCTATATTGTATTGATTATTCCGTTCGAACAATCACAATCAAAAGAAATACGTGATCGACGTGTTTTGATTTAAATAATAAAACCAGGTTATTTTTGAAGTTCTTTAGGCGCATGAGGGTAAAAATTTTACCGAACGTCACGAAGATGTGCAGCGTTTTTGTTGAAAGATAGAGAGCGATTGAGACCGATTGAGAGAGGGTGAGAAGGGCGAAGTACCTTATAGAAATTCTATTTTTAAAAATAAATTTCGCAATTAGAATTTAGGAAATATCAGTATTTTATATTTTATGCAAAATGATTTATTGAAATCTTAAATGACGAATTGTAAATTAAAATGCCACATGTATTTACTATCGAAGAAATAAATTTAAAAAATTGAATTTATTATTTGTATTAACTTTCGACACTTAATATTTTAATGACAATTAAATAGATTAAATTCCTAACATATCTTCCTTTTTCCCTACCTTTAAGGTCTAGGAAATCTAAAATTTTAGATTTGTATAAATATGAACAAGACTTAAAAATTTGTTTGCCAAAGAACTTTCACTTCTGACATGTGTACTTTTACGCACGCACTTTTTATTATTATTATATGCTTTAAGATTTGATGAGGACCATGATGCAGGTGGAACAATTGACAAATGCCGGGATCTTAGTGGTTGAGAATTTATTACTCGTTCTTCTCTTTTACTTATGCCCTTGATAACTGGCAGAAAACATAATATACATATATATAAAGTATTTGTCTCGCTGAATGTCTGGACCGATTTGGCTATACCTATATTTTATAAATGAGTTAAGAAATCTGTGTTTCATAGCTGTAGTATTTAGTTGTTGTATTTCATAGTGTAGGATCCGATCTCTTTGGTCTGTTTTAAAATTTTTGACAAAAATGTAGTGAAAAACAGTTAATTTTTAATTAATTTCTTAACACTAATAAATTATAATTTATAAAAAACAGACTTACTTAAAATCCAAATGTGTAATATTGCAAAGATCCCGTCCGGTGATATTCCACGCGGAGAGTTTTACACCTGTCAAATTGAATTGTCGCACGGCCCATTGTATCCAGAGCTTGACGTGTTGTACCGACCTGAATTTATTTTATATTTATTCACAAGAAACAAAATACTTGAGTCAAGCGACCTCTTTTAGGTCTCTCTAACTAATCCAACCAGATATGAACGCGAAAAAAATTAACTCAGTGGCACTACAACCTTTATAGTTCTGGGTTTCAGATTGCTGTATCTGTTTCATGATCATTTGTCAATACCTGACACACGACGTCGACTTTGTTGGGTCTAAGGCAAGCCGGTTTTCTCACGATGTTTTCCTTCACCGTACGAGCGAGAGTTAAATGCGCTTTAAAAAATTAAGAAAGAAAGTCCATTGGTGCACAGCCGGGGATCGAACCTACGACCTCATGGATGAGAGTCACACGCTAAAGCCACTAGGCCAACACGGCTCTGCTCGGTATGAACGCGAAGTTATTGTAATACTATTTACATTTCGCTTACAGTCGTGCTCGGCTAGAAGTAACTTTTGTACTTGCAAAAACCTATTAGGTATATTTATTATATACATAATATAATATGCATTATTATATGATAAACATATTATAATGCACCGCCTCCTACAAACACCTTAACGTATATAGCTCATGGGGTTTTAGGTATGATTCCCGGAGAAACAATCTGATGATTTAAGATCTTAAATTTGGCAAATTTGCAAATAAATAAGCTGCCTTATCAAGACATAAACTTAAGAAATTATATCTATATTTATTTCTAATACACAAATATACATTATTTACAATATATTTACATAGCTTGTGCTTTCCTCGCTTGAGGAATAAATAACGCATTACAGCGAGGAAATGCTACTAGCATTAAAGGTACACTGTGACGGACGAAACTTTTTAAATTTGTTTTAATTTTCCATTTATCAATCTTTAATTATTATTATAGTATAGGTTGTGAATAAGTAAATAAATATAGAAATGTTTTCAGAAAACGCGCAGTATATAAAACAATTCTATGAGGAGCAAGACCAATATCAAGTGTCGAGTTTCAATTGTCAACTGTCAAATTTAAATTTTTAAGCTCGCTGGCGTTAGGAAATTCTCGTATGAAAATAACTTCTTCTAGGAATCAAAACTATTGAAATATCATCTAGCATAGCATCGTATTAAGATGTGTTATTTTATATGATACGGCGTCAGTTATAAGAAAAAAAATAAGGCAAGTTACATTTAATGAGGGTAGCTTACAAATGAGGGTACTACCCAAATATCTCACCAATTCAAAGGATCATCTGGTATTTTCGCCTTAGCATGTTCAGATTTGAAGTGTTCATCCACAAACCACTTCACAGCTACCGCGTGTGGCGGAGACACCTCCGCCTCATTAGTTTCCATTTCCTGAACAGTTTCTACCTCCTCAGCTACGTGCGTTTCTGGTATTGGGACTGATTCTGTTTCGACTGAAATTATTAATAAAGCTATAAATATTTGAGTACTGAACTAAAAATCGATGTTTTTCTGTTCTACAAAGTTAAGACTAGATAATTAAAGACAAAGCAGGATTGATAAATTTATTTGTATTGTAAAAAAATACAAATACATACAAAATAAATAAATTCAACTATAGCTTATATTGATATAGGAAAATTAAAAAATGTGTAGATTTAGCTGACGATATAAAGATGGCTTCACCAATTTTTAGTTTATTTTGTGGAAAATAGAAAAAATTAAATAAAAAAAATTAAATATTTAGTTTTATTTAGTATGTACTTACAAAAGAAAACAGTCTTTATGTGGCTTAGCAAAATGTTCGACGTATATTTTAGGTCCTTACATATGAAATTGGCGTATTTCGTACTGGCCACTTTAATCACGATGTTCTCCTCTTTGGTAAGGAATTCCAAATTCAAATTTGTACAGCTATTTACTCATGTATTTGTGCTTCGATGACCGTCATTTATTTGTTTTTTTTCTTCTGTTTTTTTCTGTTTGCGTCACTCATTTTACAAAATGGAAAACTTAAAGTATCGCATTATTTACGAGTACGAGTTCCGCCGTGGTACTAGTGCTGCGGAAACGACTCGAAGGGTGAATGATGTGTATGGCGGTCATGTTGCAAAAGAAAACACAGTTCGTTTTTGGTTCCAACGTTTTCGTTCTGGAAATTTCGACCTGCAGAACAAGCTCCGTGGACGGCCTTAGACCCAAGTTGATAATGAAGTATTGAAGGCTATTGTGGAAGCGGATCCATCGCAAACCACGTCCGAGTTAGCTGCAGGCTGCGGTGTTAGTGATAAAACTGTTTTAATTCAGCAAAGCAAATTGGGAAGATTAAAGAGCTTGAAAGATGGGTACCTCACGAATTGACGGAAGCAAACCGGCAAACGCGCGTCGACTGCTGCGTTACATTACTGAACCGGCACAATAATGAAGGTATTTTAAACCGAATCATTACCTGTGATGAAAAATGGATTCTGTACGATAATCGGAAGCGCTCAGCGCAATGGTTGGATCCTGGCCAGCCAGCCAAATCCTGCCCCAAGCGAAAATTAACCCCAAAAAAGTTACTCGTAAGCGTTTGGTGGACTAGTGCCAGTATTGTTCATTGCAGTTTTCACAAATCTGGCCAGACTATTACGGCTGATGTCTATTGTCAGCAATTGCAAACCATGATGGAAAAGCTAGTGGCTAAACAACCTAGGCTGGTCAATCGCTCCACGCCACTGCTACTTCACGACAACGCTAGACCACACACTGCACAACAGACGGCTACCAAATTAGAAGAGCTTCAATTGGAATGTCTAGTATCGCATACTTTAAGTTTTCCATTTTGTAAAATGCGTGACGCAAACAGAAAAAAACAGAAGAAAAAAACAAATGAATGACGGTCATCGAAGCACAAATACATGAGTAAATAGCTGTACAAATTTGAATTTGGAATTCCTTACCAAAGAGGAGAACATCGTGATTAAAGTGGCCAGTACGAAATACGCCAATTTCATATGTAAGGACCTAATATATGTTTGTAAACTACCTACTAAAAATATAGGCTAAGTAAAAAAATCATACTAAGGCGAAACGAAGTTCGCGGGGTTTGCTGGTTTATTCGTAAAAATACACATAGTACTAAGCCAATACGAAAATAAAATATAGATAAAATTGAGTACGGCCAACGTCTTTGTTAACTGAGCTATTAATGTTTAAAATAATTAAAAACACAGTTTTAATATATTTCAACTAGAAATGGTTTACTAGTGTTTGTCTAAATTAATTCACTTTAAATCAACTTTACTACTAACTTTACCCAATGCTTCGAGTTCTCTTAGACTTATAATGGTCAGTCTAATTTTATATAAATATAGTTTAATAACAATCCAGCGCCGCTAAAACCTACATTGGTTTGGGCCTTGGATAGGCAAGAGTCTTTACGGTCTTGTGAGCATTTTCTAATAATGGTAATGGTCTTGGCCACGAATTGCATAGACAAGTAGATGATAAGCCTTCTATCTGACACATGTCAAGTGAGATAGAAAGCCCATTGGTGCACAGCTCTACCTCACGACCTCAGGCGTGGGAGAGAAGACCAACTCTTGTGAACGAGGTTTCTAAGTACAACTTACGGTCATCTTCAACCGTCGGTAAATGGAGCAATTCATCATCAGGCTTTAATACATCGACGATATTTATCTTTTTCTGAGCCGGGTGAAGTTGTATGTTCACTTGAACAACGCCGGATCCTCTAATACATTGTTCAACTAGTGTTTTGTGGCTTTCCAACTGAAAATTACATATTACGTCTCAGTCAAGGTGAATTAAGAGTAAGAACGCGGCCACGGTAACGGTGCGGTGCGCCGCCGCACCACAATTACTTCGAGCTATAAGGTGCACTTTCCTTCGTTTCTCCTATCTTCTCCAAACTTCGAAGCGGACTTGCACATTTTTATTATATTTATACCTAAATTTAGTAATGTAATATAAAGATAATTTGATGGACAAAGTATGGCGGTTACTTTTACTGGGTTGTAAATAAAATAGTAAATACTTTTAAATTTTCATTTTGTTCCGTTTTGGTTTGGTATATAAATGAGACAAAAGTTATCTATTCGTGCCTAATTGGTTTACGGAAACTAACTTAAATCAGTGAGTGAATTTAATATATTACGACATTTGGTCAATCTTGTAACTGGTTCCGTGGTGTAGTGGTTATCACATCTGCTTTACACGCAGAAGGCCGCCAGTTCGATCCTGGCCGGAATCATATCTTTTTATTTTTTTATTCATAATTCTAACCACTATTGTATATTTGTATTAAATAAATTTATAAATAAATGTATGCTAACTATAAAATTCAATTTTCTATTTTATTTTCAAGCTCTAATTTATTTAATATTGTATAATGACTAGTTATAGGACAATAACAATATCAAATAATATAAATAATATTTATAATAATTATAAAAAATACTTTTCTTGACACACTTTGACAAAGCAGATAAATATAACAAAAATTCATTGTACACTTACCATTTTTGCATCTTGCAGCCAAAAAGTATAATCAGATAGATTTAAATTCAGTCTTTGCTCCAGCATTGTCCTTAACTGTGACAACCTTGTTCTAATATCCATTATTTGTACTATTTCTTCTGTAAATTATAATCAGTACATTTATTATGTGCTTATACTGTTACAATTATAAAAAATATTATCATATAATTATATAAATTCTTAATTTCAGTAGAGGTTACCTCTGCTCTTCTTTACCTATACACAGTAACATACAAATAAGTATATTGAAGGAAATATTATTTAAACTTCATGTACAAACATAAATATGTAATAATATGTGCGGCCAAGATAATATTACCAAAAGTATCTGTGCTGGGAAGAGCATCTTCATCTTCTGGTGTATCTGCAAAGACTTCTAGTGGTGCAGCTTCTAAGATCTCTGAACCAGTTTGAATTAGACCTTGAAAAATAAAACCAGGAAAATATTAAGATGACTATTAACAGATGAACTTTTATTGTCAAATACATTCTGTTGGAGACAACAAAGCCATATATTTTGTTTTAATGCTTCTTTTGGCAATAGTCTCATTCATTAGCTACTTATTTATTATTTGTTTATAATTAATTTAAGTATTATAAGAATGTTAAGGTATGACATTTGATAAATATATTAAGTTAGTTTAAAAGTTTCAACTGTCAGAAGTTTTATTTAATAGGACAATCAAATCATTTTTATTTAGAAAAATTAAGGTTTGTCACTGTATACTTCTAACTTTTGCTTGGATACAAAAGTTAATTTCTGAAATATAATGCTGATTATATTCTTTTAATATAGCTTCCATTTTTATATTTCATAACTTTCTTACGAAAGTGAAACTTATGAAAAGAATACTATGCACTTTTCTTGTAAGTTACTAGTATTTTAAGTTTAAAACCATTAGTTTACAAATATACCTAAACACAAATGACCTTGTAAAGTATTTATGTTATCTTTCGGGTGTACAATAGAAGAGTGGTACCTACATATTTAGCAGTAATACTTGTTACGTACCCAAGTCTGACTCTGTTACATATTGGGGAATTATCGATAAGGCATCACCGTCGTCAACATTTTCGTCATCAACGAAATTATTTCCCGTTTCCATTTTAATTGAACGCACACTCAGCAATTCATTCAAGTCCGTCACTTCCATTTTATCAGACACGAATTAAAGTAACCGCGAGTATTTAGAACAAAAAACAAATTTTCAAAACAATTTTTGAGTTCTCACGAACTTTAACAAATGTTTATTTGAAAAATTATAGGAAAAGGAAATTGATTGTCCACTTCCGCGTGCGCTAAACGGGAAACCATGAATTGAATGACATTGACAACTTCTGACTTCTGGCGCGATAATATTTTACGGAGCAACTTGTGTCTATGGTTAAATGTACCTGTCTAAAAAGTTTATGTTTTACAATACAAACATTAATAATCTTAATGTGCTTTATTATCATCAAGTTAATGCAACACAAATTTAAAATTCTGTTTCACACCATTTAAAATGTCATTGATAGCAGTCAGCAATGACATAATTTACTGCTAAGTTGTCAAATAGATCATAAGTCTTAAATGTCAAAACTTTAAAGTTTTCAAAATCGACCGAGTATAATGTATTGTGCTTTCGCTTTCGTGTTCTAATTTTTAATGTGTTTTTCATTCATGTAGAAACAATACTTTATTGTACTACAATTTAAAAAATAATGATAGCTTTCTATATAAATAAGTTAAATTTTCATTACGTATCTGTCGTATCTTAATTGTAATTCCTTTTGTTTACTAGCACGCATCTCCTCTAAAAGATGGATGAAACTGTGGTTCTGATTTTGTTAGCTTTAGTCATGTTAATTGGCTCCTACGTGTCTGGAAGCATCCCTCTTAATGTGTCTATGTCTGAGGTAAGTAATATCCTTTAAACATTCACATTATTGATATAAATAATAATTTATCATACGTAGGAAACTGCTTGCCAGCTGTTGCTATTGAAGCACTATTTTGTAACGGTATTGCATAAATAATTGCTTAATTGGCGTAATATTTCCTAGTATCAATATGGATTGTGTAATTAAATATTGATAGTACATATTAACAACATTTTCTGTTAGTGAAAGTGTTTTGTTAACATATTTTAATTTAATATTTAATCAGATTTTTATAGCTGGTATATTATATCACATTAAAATGAATAAAACATAAATAAATTATGCATTTTTGCTATATCTTAACAATAAGAAATAAACTGTATAATATGAAATTTCATTTAAAATTAATAACTTTCTATTGTTTAATCCAATTGAATAAAACTGGTTTTGAATATTTGCTCTTATATAAACTTATAATTACATACAGCATAACAGTTCATCTTTTAGTTAGCTCAAAGTTTTTGTGCTTTAATCAATTTACCTTGTTTTTTCCCTAAGTTAAAAATAGTAATACATACTAATTTATACTAAAATTTTTATAAAACTCTAGTCATTTTATTCCTACTTCTAAGTTATTGTGGATATAATAATATATATTATATAATGACATAGGACAAAAAAATGAAAAAGTTTTGTAAATTCTCGTGGCATACAACTTTAATTTAGATTACCATATCACATTAATCACAAATAATATATGTGGATTAATGTTGATAAGATCTATATTAGATATCTTGTAATTCAATTTATATCTAATCCAGTGATGTCATACTAAAAATGAGCTTGTGTATTTAATTTAATACATATATTGTTTGTTTGTATTTTCCTGAGAAATTCCTGGCTTCCAATACACTAAATGGCAGTATACATTTCATAATTCATACTTGTTGTAATGATGTAGACCAGTGTTTCCCAAATTTTTTTGCACCCAGCCCTACCTGATTTCGAAATTCTTATGCCCCCTCCTATGTAACACACATAATATTTAATATAAAAAACATGAAATTGTTCACTTAAGAAACTTTAATGAATGGTTTAGGAAGACATCACTAGGAAGTTAGCTGTTAACGCAATGTAGTAAGTAAATTTTCAAAACATATAATGTAAAGCTGGAATTAAAATTCCAATATAATTAAAAAAAAATTGGAATAACTCAGAATCAAATTGGCCCAGCGTTGGGAAACACTGATGTAGACAATAAACAGCTAATGCTCCATTCACATAACATAGACAACCTATATCAATCATTATTAATAATCCAATGTTATAGAGCTCATCATATTGTCCTAATACATGTTGATTATTGTAGCTTAGGCATACCGGTTCATTCAAGCTTGTTTATGTCTTAAAAATTTCTAATCTATTACTAGGCTAACACTATGAATAACTAATGAAAACCTTAAGACAACCTGAAAGCTAACCAATAACTGCATCCATCGTAACATAGTAAGATAAATATGTATAACACAAAATTTAATGCATTTGTTCCAGGAAAAACTTCTTAAAGTGACAGTATTTGGTGCTGGTCTCCTCGTTGGTACAGCGCTAGCGGTCATCATTCCGGAGGGCGTTCGATCGTTATTTGCTGAACGTGCAATCACAGTTGTAACTAAGGATTATACCCCGGAACCAGTTGAAAAGCCAGATTTGCATTCGGTTATTGGGATATCACTTGTGTTGGGTAAGTTTTTTATGCTCATAATTCAGTACTGGGACCATTACTGTTTCATCTCTACATTAATGATTTACCAAATTTGTCTACTAATACATGCGTTTTTGACGCGGATGATATCTCAAATCGCAATGATCGTTTCTGAAGATAGTGCCCGTAACCACGAATTTACAAACAACTATGTATATTTTTTTAAATTATAATTATAGCAGACCCAATAAGCTCAAATTACCTAAAAAACTAATAAATTGAAGTAGCCTAAACTAAGTTTATACGCATAACACCACTCAAAAATCTTACTTGGAAACAACACAATTTATCGATATGTACGCGCCTTAACTTAATAAATTTGTGTTTGCTTTGAGCCGAACTCGCAAAGTGGCCCCAAATAACGTAAATTGTTGCTTATCACGGCTATGTTGCCTAAGTTCTGCGCTTTGGTATCCTTTTATGGAGATAATCGTGGGAGAGTATTTAGACCATAAGTTTAGACAACAATTATAAATAACTTAACTGTTCTTAATATCATGACATTACGATTATTAATATGACATTTGCATGCATATTTTTATATGGCTGATTCTGCGGTTTTTTTAATTATTAATCAATCTGAATATACCAATTACTTTGCTGATTATTATCAATTGTGAATAATAAAAATTATTGATTGATTTTTAATTTCTTTTATAAGCAAATAGGTGAGCAAAATATCAAAACGGATATTACTTGATAATTCTTTTTATACATGTTCTAATCATATATTGAGTTTCTTGTGTTCTCAGATCTAAGGATATTGCGTATCTAAGTTGGCAAAAGTTTTTGTTGTGATATTAAGAAAGTTCTGAACTAACAATCTGTCAAACTTTTTTTTGTATTAGTCCAACTAGATTGCGTAAGCACCGAATAAAACAAAATTAACAGTTTAAAATAAGATAAGAAAAGGAATATTCTCATAACAAAATGCTATTATTCGGACATTAAATGCTTAGCTTTGATAAAAAGCAATGATGTATTACGAAGCGAAGTTTGCAAAGTTCTTAGACTTGAATAAGTCTACCACCAAACTCAGTTGAACACGCTCTCTAAGTCGCGACTTAGAAACCCGTATGTAATACGTTTTTGCCAGTCGGAAGTAATTTTAAGCAAGTAAGGGTTTAGAAGTGAGACTTAGCGCTGTCTCCCGTAGGTACCTCAAAAATGTATTGGATTTCGACATACGAGATTCATAATTCGCAAACCTCGTTTCTGAATCTGGAAGTATGTAGTAAACGATGACTCCAAATGGTAAATGATTTTATAGGTGAACTAATTTTATTTGTCAAAAAGGCATTAAATTGTTGTTCTATTATTATTATATTCGATATTGATTTATAGGTTTCAATTACGTAATAAAATACGTATAATATAAACTACTGATATTAAAAACAAATAAATATATATTACTATGAATATAAGTGAGGACCAGCGGTAAATACCAAAAAAACTAAATATATATAAATTTGTTCAATGAAACGAGTATTTTATTAATCACTGTGTTAATTATATTTAAACTGTAAACCAGACAATGGCGAAAAGGAAGTAAACTTGTACACAGCAAATCATAGTTATCAGATATGACATAGACAACAAGTGATGCATTCTATAATTGCTGAAGGCGCCAAATTTAAATGTTATAGACTAACAAAATTACTACATAATTGTGACTTAACTAAATATGACTATTTACTCGGCCCGATATGTGGTGCACAACAAATCTATATTATAGACTGATTACTAATTGAGAATTTGACCGGTCCGATGTGTGTTATCCGATCAAAGCTATTGGTAACTGTTCGTTTCCTTTTATAATGGAGTTGCTTATGCGGGGCACAGGGAGTGCAATGGATATGCCATTGCACTCCCTTGCACAATTTCAACAACAAAAATATTATCTTAAGAAACATCCAAGCTTTTGTAGAATATTATTTGTAATTGGGATACCATAGACTTAACAATGCCTTAATTGTTTTTATTTATATTGAATTACATGTCTTCTTTTGTTATTTAAAAGTTCAAAATTTTTATTAAGAATTTTTCATTGAAATTAAATGATAAATTAAAAATGTTTAAATTTTGTCTTGATTATATTATATACACTTGCACCGATTTGTTTCGGTCCAAGCGAGAAACGTGGCGTGAAACATTCAACAAATCAAATTAACTCTTTCATAATATTAAGTATGTTATTTCACCTATCAACTGGGACTTAACGTATTTTATTTATTTGAAATTGGATGACTCCCAGAACTTCGTTTCACCTACTTAAGTGTCAAAGTTATTTTTTTAAACAGACCTAAGAGATCGGACCTACAGCTATAAAACAGTCAAATTTTTTAACGCACTTCATAAATATTTGGCCAAGTGACACTCTTTTTATTTCTAAAAGATATAAATTATTTCCCAGAAACGGTTTTTATTGGAAAATTTAAGTGTCGTTTTTAGTATTTTCCTTTACTTAATATTTATGTTAATCAATCGTTTAAATCTTCCCTGAACTTCTATAAATATTTCATGATCAAAATTAGCCAGCAATAATTCATTGATGTATTTTTATATGAAATTAATTTTTTCGTTGATTTATGTATAAAACAACTTAAATGGGTTTTGAACGGTCTGAAGTACTGATTTTAAATGAAAATTAATATATTTTTTTAATCTTACAGGTTTCATATTCATGCTGTTAGTGGATCAGATATCTACTCGGTATAATGGATCCACAAATCCCTTAGAGCGCAATGTCACTGCCACGGTGGGACTCGTGGTACACGCAGCTGGTAAGTCGCAATTAATATGTAAAATTGTGGGCCATATATATTTATCTATATAACAAAAAATTTAGCTAAGTGCAAAACTCAAAGACCAAGTATTTATTATTTATTCCTTGAACTCTGAGGGAAGCTTTTATGGAGAAAACAATTTAAAATGTTGTTATATTTAGTTCTCAGGTTTTATCGCAATAGCGAACAGTATTTATAGGGGTAGCATACCAAAATGTTCCATGTGTTGGTATGTAGCTACTAATAAGGTAGGCAAACAATCATATTAAGGCGGCACGAAGTTCGCGGGGGCAGCTAGTATAATAAATAATAAATCTTTATTTAGTAACAATTAGGTTACATACAATATTCTAAGACCGTGCGGGTTGGCTTCTCCACCTTTCCAGCCTATTTTTCTATTGCTGCCAGCACCAAATTATTGCCAGCCTTTCAATCTCGACGGCCCATCGTTCTTTTGATCTGTCCTTTTGGCCATCTTCTTCATATATCTATCAAATCTAATACAACGCCTATAACGCCCCGGAGTTAAAGCAGTCATAAATCGGTGGTAATATGATTTATCGATAAATTTACAATTCAATACAAAACGATTTTAAATAAAACTTCTATTAGATATAAAAACGCGTACATGTTACCTTTCGGAAGAATCGTAAATACATAATGTAAATGAAAACAAAATTATTAATAAATAATATTAATGTGTTATGGTTATAGAATCTTTATTTCTGTTAACACTCAAAAACATTTATATATATATATATATATATTATATTAAGCTTCTAAGAAAATTGATATTAATGTGTATAATACGGTTATGGAGTAAAATACCTTGTTCGTTAATCGTTAATTTACGTAAAAATTTAAAGCATTGATTGTTATTGGGTCACGAGATCCAAAACTGTTATAGATATATATATATATTTTTTTTTAATTGGACAATTCACACCAATTGACCTAGTCCCATGCTAAGCTGGTGAAGCTTGTGTTATGGGTACTAGGCAACGGATAAACATACATATTATTATAGAAAGATAGACATATAAATACATATTTAAACACCCAAGACCTAAACACAACACCAAATGCTCATCACATCGATGTTTGTCTCAGCCGGGGATGAATAAATAATAATAATAATTTGTCCTCGTGTCGCATAGCGACCCTTTTCCTAGAAAATCGTTTTGGCAGGTTCTTAAAATTATTAATTAATAATTATTTGAATTTTTAAAGCCAATTTAACAAAATTAAAAATAACAATTTATTCTATAATATTTTTTTAATAAAATATGTTTATTTTGGAATATAACATGCAGGTATCACTTATTCCACGTCATTCAATTTGAATCGGTAGACTACTCATCGGCAATGAAGACAGAGGGTGAGAGAAGAAGCCGGCGCAAAAAATTCTCGGTACCCTTTTAAAATAGCAAATCATCATACAAAATGACATGGCAAACAACATTTTATTTAAAACCAATATCGCAAATTAATTAGAAGTAGCCTGTCTGGCACTAGTCCCAGGCCCTTTTATCAAGTAGATAATCGTTAACTGAGATCGTTCGTATCGTTAGTCATTTGAGACGGTTTTAAACCCTATTTATATTTCGCGCTTATAATATACAGGTTGGTCCAACTAGTGACGTCAATATTTTTTTTAGATTCCTCACACCTGGGGGTGTACGAAAATACCCCATGTATTTTTTGTAGTTTTCACGTTATATATTTTTTTGTGTGTTTTTTAATGTTTTCTGCCAGCGAGATTTAAAAAATTCTTATCTTATTTGTTATAGGTGTTTTGCAGTTTTTTTCTGTGAAATGCTTGTCTTAAATGTTGTTCAATTAAAAAAAATTCTCAGCTTCCTATTAGTTAAGAACAAAAATGAAGTAAACGCCAAATGCTTTTTATTTAAATAACTCGTAAAATATATAATATTTGATGAAATTACTATTAATAGCTCTTGGCCAATCTAATGATGTAATTCAATTATTTTTGGCTTCATAATACTTGCCATGATTGAATAATAAATTAGGCAAAAATGGTGACTTTGTGTTTTTTTTTGTTTCCAGGAATTTATATTGTATTGCGTTTTTAATTAGTGTTAACCAAATTACAATGAAGGATGAATACATAGGTATTGTTTTTTAATTCAAGCATCACACACTTAAATAAAATAAAATCAACAGGTTCTTAACCTCACATAACTTCGTATATCTATATTTTATATGAGGTATGATTCGCGCCTGCGAATAAATCACTCCGATATTGATTATTACAACGCTGCCTAGATACAGCTCTGTAGACTAGATGTTTGGTTTTACACTACGCATAGGTCGAGGATTCGTCCGTTAATCATTTGTTTATTAACAATTTCTTTTTATAACAAATCTACGTAAGCTTGACTATGAGTGCATCAAAGTATTTACCGATGCTATTCTTTATATAATTCTGAAGGTGGTAACTGACCAACGTTACGAGGTGTAATGTAACATGTTACACAGCGAGCATTCGTGCAGTCAGTACGTCGTGTTACGGGGAAACCAGCGAGCAACGAGCCGCTTGTTGCTCGCTTTGAGTGCTCCACCCGGCTATCGGTTTTTTGGCAAATCCTTTAAGTGTTACGCGGTTCGGTCAGTACGCTCTTATATATATCTATAATTTGTATCCTTTTATGTTTACTTGGTCCAATTAAATTCACGAGTTGTACAAAATCGATCGGAGACATGCGTACAAAGTTTTTATACTGTTCAGTAATCATTTGGTTTTTAAAATTGCTATTAATGACAAACCACCACATGTTTGTACACAATTAAATAAGTTTGATATCCAGTAACGTTTTTTCTTCTTTTGGATGAGACAATAATTAAGTAGAATCAAAGATGCCAACGCGTCCCCGCTGTCGGCCATCTCGTGAACACTGGCGGCGATTTTAAAACACAGCGTAACATGCTCGATGCGTAACACGCTCGATGCGAATGCTACATTACACCTCGTAACTTTGGTCAGTTCCCACCTTTAGACACTATTTCAAATTTCGAATCGATAATCTCTCTTCAGCATTGTCAAATATGTCATTGCTAAACTTCAATAGGTAGTTTGACATCCCTTGAAAGTAGAAACTGTCGTTTTACGATACGAACGTAAGAGTGAAACAAAGATTTAAATTATAAAATAATACAATACCAATACTTGATCTCATCTCCAGTATAAGTAGTGATTCGACAATCCTTTTAGTAGCTTTTTTATTTTTTTCTATACAGAAAATTACCTTAAATATAAACTCTTTTGCAAAAAAACACCTTAGGAAATTCACCTACTAAGGTCGATTTCAGTTAATTTAATGAAATTTAATTGTTTGACGTAGTCTAGGTATATACTTAAAATTGTGTAAATTAATACGTACCTAAGTGAATTCTGGTAATATTTTTAGAAGTTTTTGATGAATTCTTTAAAATGGCTGATATAGGGCTGGGTAGTTGTAACAATTTTAAATATAATTGATATCATGAAGTGTATTGCTAAATTACTACTAATACTTGATCGATACTCTAATATTTATCTATAAATCTATTAATATTATCAAATCTACAGCAACTCAATTTTTTTTTTTGAAAAATGAAGTGTTACAACTACCCCGTGGTTGGGGCTAGTTTAACAACAAAAATACACCTTCAATTGTTTATTTTTTTCACATCTTGGATCATTTTGCTTTGTATATAACAAAAACTAACTAGGTATTTCTATAATGTGTTTTTTATGAAATATTAACTGGAAAAAAATATAATCAACAAATTAAAATTTAAGATTTTAACTATCTTCCAATTTTGAATATGAACTTAAATCCTTTTTTTCACCCTTTCTATTCCATCTTTATTTTTCGCAGATTTTTTAACTTTTCCTTTCCCCTTTCACTTTTCTTTATCATCTTTTCTTCATATTCTACTCTCAAAGCTTCTTTTTCAGGCGTATCAGTCAGAACAGTAGACTTCCTTTTGCGTCTGCAATTTATATTTGTTTTTCGTGGTGGCGCCTTTGGTAATGGTCTAATCTTTGATGGGAAAAATTTATTTTGACCAGAGCAACTTGAGTTGGTTTGTTCGCAGTTTCAATGTGGCGTATAATTTCTGTTGTGCTAATATCCACTTCAGAGCGAATCTAATAGTTCTGGATGTTTAAGATTCAACATAAATTCTCACTTTATTTGAACCTATTCACCTGATTTTCTGTACCTATCGTAAATAAAAGGGCGCAAATCACTATCTTGGAAAATTCACTTCAAAGGCCAATACCAAGCTTTAATCCACTGATAATATTTGCAAGGTTTAAGGCAAGTGATATACTCCTTCCTACACTTTGATGTCATAAATTGTCATCGTTTTTCCTGGATTATTATACATCCATGCAGTATGTGCTCTGTTCACGTAGTTTTTAAAAGGGCCGTAGACTCCTACTCCTAGGTTGCAAATTGTGGGAGCAATGGAGGGAAACTTAACATAACATTGTTTTCTTTGGCTTTTTCGACAACTCGATATTCACATGTGAGCATATTTCGAGCAGTAACAGAACTTTTTCTTGGTAGGTTTCGAGTGTTTGATAAAATGATCTACAAAAATCAAAAATTCTTTATCAATTACCAGCTCCAATCATCTAGGACCACCGCGAATGAAATTTCTGAGTATTTAACCGGGGAAAAAACCGCCCTTACACAATCTGGGGCAATTAATCAACAACCCCGAGGTTTGTTACAACTAGCCCCTTATTAGTTCCTAATATTTTCACATAACTATTAAATCAACTTTAATCTGAAAACTTTATACAACATCATAAATAGTTATATTTTAGCATAAAATAAAAACATAAATCTTCAAATCTATGAAAACATGAAACTAACAAAAATTTACGTTAGTAAAATTATAGGTTACCTGTCAACAATAAAGCGTTTGCACACACCCACTCACTGAGCCGCCTGGCGGGACCCTGGCTGTGGTAAAGTGGCGGGCACGTTATAAGTTTAAGATTAGGTTAAAAAAACGTGAATAAAATTCAAATTCCTATTGAAAAAGGTCTGTTACTATTTACCCCTGTACAACAAGCCCCACGCTCCCCTACACGGCCAAACAATACGAAAAATAGAATCTTAAGCGTGAATTTCGTATTATTTACATAACTCGTTACGGTACTCAACCACTTCGGTAAACGATACGCCGCGTTATGTAAACTTATATAATTTGTAGTAATACTTTTCAAAAAAGATTTTATTTCATGTTACACATAACGTCACTGTAGAATGATAACTTCGTATGTCAAAAAACCATTTATTTTGATGTTATACTTCTTTAGGTGCGTTATGAAAAATTGATGAGAGTGAAATTTTACGATGCGCGCGCACCGTGACACAAAATTAATAGAATGAAGTTGTCCACGAAAGTTGCTACGGCATTGGACCTGTGTGTAAGAGAATAATAATAAATATTTATTTATTTAACTTTCAAATGTAAACTGAACTTTATTGACTATAATGAATCCTTTTCCAGTCTTTGATTATTTAGTTGAAATTACCCCAAGTATAATAAAACGTTTCGTGACCACCTAGTGACTCTTTATACCTAAAAATTACCATTATGTGGTGTAAAGTACTCGAAAGTCGAAAATAATATTAACAATATTGCGTAATTCAATCCCCGCCCCGTATCGTAACGTTTTACAAAAGGACCCCCCCAAATTCGTTACGTAATACTAGAACGCTCCCTAACATAGTTCTGTATGTAATACAATACAACATAGTCCATCGTCACCAAGCTCCTGTTCCCCTCTTGTTCTACTCGTCTACACATTGGAAAGACCAATTTCTGAGTAATATGTGAGCACCATGTATTTACTTAATAATTTAGTTAGCTGCTGCATTGTTTTTATAACACCATGCGTCTATTTTATTTTAGTATAGGTATTAGGTATTCTAGGTACATGATCTTCACATATAATTATCAAATTAATGTCTACAAAATATTGTAAAAACTATTTTAAAAGAGTAAGTATGTATTGAGTTTCTTGCCCATTCTTCTCCATTTGAAACTACCTTTTGGAAGGGGCAACTAGTCATTTTTTTTAACTTGTTATTTTGACTTTCAAAAGTAGCTTTTAAATAGGCCTAATTTATATAACATACCTGACTTGATTACAGAATATGTGAAAGGAATTTTCAGCTGAAAAATAAGTCATATTTTAATGTTTCGTTGAATAAATAAACGTTTATTTCCAGCGGATGGCATAGCTCTTGGCGCGGCAGCTACAACGTCGCACGCAGATGTTGAACTCATAGTATTTCTTGCTATTATGCTTCACAAAGCACCGGCTGCTTTTGGTCTAGTCACCTTCTTATTGCACGCTGGATTAGAAAGGTAAGTCGTATTTGTAAGAAATAAACATTTATTCGTCGTAAATATAAAAACGAAACGAAAAGATGAAAAAAAAAACGATTTTATACCATATAAGATCTTAAATTTATGGAGCCAAACAATCTTATCCCAGATTGTCCAAAAAATACCTACGAAAAGATATCCTTGCAATTTTCGGGTTTATTATATATAGGCGCCGGTCAATATTCTTCGTTCTCTTATACATATGAGCGAACTGTCCGAGGTTTTTAGCTTGGGTATCGCTTTCGTATGCGTTGATTATATAGGATTTTTTGATCTCAGTTCACGGTTGATTTATGTAAAAGGACTAGGTTTATAATAAAGATTATGACAAATGATTTTCAGTGGACCCATACTACAAAGTATGGGTCCACTGAAAATCATTTGTTACACAGTTGGTCCAACTTTTTACTAAAATGATTGTGTTTGTATTTCTTTTATGTGAGTGCGTGCTTTAATTAAATAAATGTTTTTTTCTTTCTTAAATTCCAATAGCAAATGCAATCTTAAAAGAATCATATCGTAATCGTCGCATTTGTATCGCTATTGGAACTTAAAGAATACCGGCAATGATATTAGTAATATCGCTGCCCATAGTCACTGATAATCCCTCACGACTCACGAGTGCGTTTTCTGCTTTTTTAAGGCTTCCTTTGGCATTCTTTTTATAACACGGGGCAAACTGGTAGGAAGCCCACCTGATGTTATGTGACGCCGCCCATGGACACTTACATTACCAGAAGGCTCGCAAGTTCGTTGCCGGTCTTTTAAGAATTAGTACGCTCTTCTTAAAAGGTCTATAAGTTGAATCGGTTCACTATGTAAGGGTCTCTAATGATTACTACGATTAAAGCGTTTTGTGTATTTTCCTTTTGTTTTTTATTTACTAATTTAACATAATTATTTTTCCAGGAACCGTATCCGCAAACATTTGCTGATATTCTCGTGTTCCGCGCCCCTTTTTGCCGTTATTACCTACTTCGGTATCGGCAATGACAGCAAACAGACTCTATCCGACTTCAATGCTACAGGTAATCATTTCTAATACTTAGTTACTGCATACTTACCTTGTACAGTGATCCTTTCCCAGCTTTTTTACAAACTGACAAATATTTACACTTTGTAAAATTAGTATAAAAGTATTATGTTATGAAAGATATTATATGTTTCCTGAATATGAAATCATATCCCATAATCTACCTTAAAAAAAGAACAAATGAACGAAGAGTGTATCCGACTTAAAGAAAATTATATTAAGAAATTAATTTTTAATTAATTGTAACTCTTTCCAGCTATCGCCATGTTATTCTCCGCTGGCACATTTTTATATGTGGCAACTGTCCACGTTCTACCAGAGATAACAAATCCGCACCCAACACACACATTATTACCCATACAGGATGGCATTCCCCCTAAACGCGGGTTCGCAGGGTTGCAAGTTATTGACACGCTGATTTTGGCTTTTGGCGCCATGTTGCCAGTTCTATTAACTATGGGCCACGAACATTGATATTTGCCTTTCGTGTACAATGTCTCTAAGATGCTGTACCGAGCTGTCTTGATAATGATGTGTTTTAATCTGTATTTGCGTTTTTGTATATATTTGCTCCAACGTGACCGTGTGAGGAAGAGGAATTAAATTGTTTACAGAAACATTAATATTTTTTTTTACATTTTATTAACCTTAAAATCACCAATATCGGGTATTTACATATTGTATGTAGCGATTATGGCAACATTAGACATAGAACTTGTATAATTTATCTCTGTAAAACATACAATTTTAGTTTCTATAATCATTTCATAGTTGTTACTACTACTTTGAAATCCTAGAATAGAACTTACCCAAACTTCGACATTATATCCCATGAAATAGGTTGTATTTTTCTATATTTTTATCGTATGTTACTGATCTTAATTGTTATTATCGATACGTAATAAAAAAAAAGTCTTCATAAACATGTAGGCCAAATTATGTGGTATAGGAATGATAAGACTTATGTTATTTGGTGTCTAATATAACATAAATAATTGTAGAAAGCTCTGGCAACATTGCCGTTCTACTGTCTATGGTACACTTTTTCTTAAACTGATGCTAGTAATTTTATATAAATAGAACCTATCTCTAAGTGTAGAAGCACGATGTGTCTCGAATTTTAATTATATAGACTTTCTATTTGATATAAATAACTTACGAGTACAGATTTTTAGGCGTGTATTCTTTTCTATATGAAGTTTCGCTATAGGTTATTTGACAGCGCTCAAGGCGAGATTGACCTGAGATAAGTGTTATAATTATTGTAATTGATTATGCACAAAGTTGTACTTTAAAGGTAAGAGTATGTACTAGTAGATTTTAAAGAAATTTTTGATGTTTTATATAAAAAGCTCATTTTCCAATACCTGAGAACTTGTTAACTTATTGGTGTAAAATTATGTAAATTATATATCTTTCAAATTATTCAAAGTAACAAAAATGAGCGGACAATACTGCTTTATTATGAAAGAAATCAAACTATTAATTAGGTTTTAAAGATCTAAGTTTGTGATAGTTTTGTGAGAACTTTTGTATTGTGTGTTTTGTTATTTTTACATGTTCATAAGTTTTGGGTTACCAGACAAGAAACGTATTTTGCGTCTTATCTGTGGTTAAGTTTGAAATACAAAAAAAACAGACATAGATAATAGACTGAGAAATTCTATGCACCTTTCATGTACAGAAGAATTTTAAATATGGAACAGATACTAGTTAAGACTATAGATAAAGAATGGCTAGATCTCGCATAGTGATCGATTTTCTCAGTCCATTGTTAGTGTCAAGTTATAATAAGTTTTCTATGTATGTTTAATGTATTTATCTCATGGAGATAATTGCTCAAAAAAAAGTATTTTAAATGTCTCGATGTTTATTTTCTAATATCGTACACAGAAAAATTTAATGTGTATAATTTCTGGCCAATAATTCGGCCAGTGTAATCAGGAGTATTTTAAGATTTTTCTACTTCTCTCTCCTATATACGTCAAGTTACGTGCCGATGCCGAGTGCTATTTTTGACGCTCGTAGACTTTATACATAAACAGATCTGTAACGACTCGTTTTTTGAATATTAAATCCGGAAACAAACATGTGTACCAATAAATAATAGGCCTAAATAAATTTTAATGATTGTTGTAAATTTATCGAAATAAATGCTATTTAGCAACTTAACTTTTCTTCAACTACCCACAGTTTTGTAGACTTGGAATTTTTTACTATATACTTAAGATAGACGAATAACACATAAATACAAATATAATACTTTTTATTGTTTAAATGTAATCTCATAGAAGCGATATTGTTATCTTTGTTGAGGATAAAATAATATATAATTCAATTGTTGTCAAAAATAACCTTGATGAGGGTGAACTCTAAATATTAAATATATAATAATTTCACCGTTGGTCTGAAGAGTTATACAAAGAATGAATTATTTAAATTCTTTTGGACTTATTAATAATACAGAATTAAAAAAACATTTTAATACTAATTTTTCAACATATCACATTTTTTTCTATAAAATAATCTCTAAATTTATTAAATCCTTCAAAAACATACGTTCCTGAGATAAGCAATTTTTTTTATGAACCAAACAAGCCTACTGATAGGCTAAAGGCAACTGCGACTGTCCATCGACACCGATGTTAGTGGGTACATAAGCGACCTTTAAACTATGTGTTTACGTTTTAACTTTGCAACTATTATAAATAACTAGCTGACCTGGCAAACCTCGTTTTGCCATGTATATCTTTATATATATAATTCTTCTGTGAGTGTGTATGTCACTGAACTTCTCTCAAACGACTGGACCGATTTTGATGAAATTTTTTGTGTGTGTTCAAGGGGATCTGGGAATGGTTTAGATTCACAAATCAGCCCGGCAGATGGCACTGCAGACGGTACTTTCATACTTTGCTTAATATCCTAATCGCTTTAAATATCATGCAGGACAACGTCTGTGGGGTCCACTAGTAATTTATAATAAAAAATAGGGGTTGATCGTAGAGGGGTGAAAATTTGGGGTTGTATGTAGTTTTTAATGTTGTATCATAAAAAAAATTAACTGAAAATAAAAAAAATAGGGGTGGCCTACTCTTAACATTTAGGGGGATAAAAAATAGATGTTGTCTGATTCTCAGACATACCCAATATGCACACAAAATTTCATGAGAATCGGTCAAGCCGTTTCGGAGGAGTTTAACTACAAACACCGCGAAACGAGAATTTTATATATTAGATTTTCAAGGATCCCGATTTACATAGCATCATACTGCCTTGTTGATGGCCTAATATGACTTCCTGTGTGTCAAGAAGCAATTAAAATATTCCTGTTATCGTAAAGCTAGTAGGTATACCTAAAGAAACCTTCACCAAAGGTTATATAAAAATCTCAAAAGCATCTAAAACCATTTATATACATTACATATAATCTACGACATGACTCTTTAACCAACTTCAAAAAACAATCGATGTAATGGACGGCTTTTTATTATTCACAAGCTCTGGTAAGTCTATAATAATACATTTTATATGGAAAATTGTACGCTGTTCCGGAATGCAACAATAGAGATGTTTTGAATTCTTATCTGCTTGAAACAATTCAGGACTGACCTTGGTCCCACTATACAATATATACATCAAAGAATGTGTCTTACGAATATAATTTATTAAATAGGATATTCTACATTATTATTATTATTCTATACATATTTAATAAACTGTTATAAATCAAAATGAATCTTAACAATCTGGAAAACCCATATTTTGAAGTCGGTATTTATACATTCATCCCATTACCAGCCAACTAATTAAATTAAATAAACTATACGCGATGTACAATACGACGCAAACAGTTATCACCTTCAAACATTGATGCATGTAGTACAATCTGAAATTAAAAATTTATTTTACTTTTATTTTATTGTAATCTTTGAAACTGTCCATCAGACTAACAGATAATCTCTGATCCATAGGAAAGGTTTTTATATCCTGAAGAGCAGTGTTTTCCAACCTTTTTTGTGCCATACCCCACTTTAGCCTTTTTAAAAAGCCTATGTAACATACATAATTTTTAATATTCTAAACTTGAATTATTCACTTCAAAAGCTTAAATGGTTTTAGGAAGAAATTTTCAAAAGATAATGAAAAACATCAAGTCAATTTTCGAAATGCCCTTGACAATCAAATTGTCCAACAAACAAGGAAATACTGTTGTAAGTGTAGTCTAGTCATAATAATACTTTCAATCAATTGTCTGCCACTGAGATATTGTTTAAGTTTTGTTATTTAAATACTATTAATCTAGTATGACACCTGATCTGTATCTACTCCTATATAAGAACTTAATCTTAAAAAAAAGAATACTTGTAGAACTTACAGACGAAATTTTGTTAAATAATATTATTACCTGTTCCATTTTTTTCTTGCTTCCGGTAGAGTTGAAAGGTCGTCGTTCACTAGATACACTCGAAGTCCTAAAAAAGCAAAATACACTATTTAATTTCTAGGCGTTGCTTTACTTTGATAGTGGCTAAGTTATAATAAAAAAAAATGTTTGAGGCATATTCTTTGACGAAGTTATTGTTCGACATAACAGTTATTATGTTCCTTTGTTAAAAGCAGATACTTACAATTGAAAAGACTACATCATATTACATCCTTCCCTAACTATATTTATTTTTTGTTTATATAACTAACCCAGTAAAAATGTCTCAGTCATGTAGTCCCAGGACATATCAGCCATATTGAACGGAAACACAGTTTTATCGGAAGTCGGCAGAGAGCGCCACATTTCCCTCACATTATCATCACTGAATCGCCAGTCTTGTGTCGAAAAGTAGAAGAGGATATGTGCCAGTTTTATCACCTTCGAGTAGAACTTCAGCATGCTGGAATAAAAATATGTAAAATTATTTGTGTTCGTTTGTCGTCATTTGAACTGAATATATCTTCCTCTAAGAACAATTAGGTATAGTTGTCTTTAACGAAGCTACTTACTTCCGTTTCCGGCCTGTGAGTGCGCAGTATGAGTCGATAAGCAAAGCAGGTAAGTAGTGTAAAAAGAAATTGTAGAACAAAAACATGTAGTAACTTTTCGTCGGATTAAGTCCATAATACCTGAAAAATAATTTTAAAACGTTAAAATAAAATTTAAGAAGTCTGTTTTATTAAACATATGTCAATAGACAATAAATTGATCGACCTTCTGTGACGGACATATCTTCGTTACTGACTGTAAAAAATTGTGTAAGAGCGATATAACAATCTTATAAGAATATACAAATCTAAAGGAACCAACCAGGCTCCAGAAGATAAACCACTGCTTATATGGAAATCGTATTCGTTGTTACAACAAACTCCCAAGCGAAATTAGAGAATTATCACTGAATAAATTCAAAACTCTCGTTAAACGTAAATAAATCAATAAAGCTCTTTATAAATTTGATAATAATTATTTAAATATTCTTATCCTTGGGATTGATTTGCTCCAGTTCAAATATTGATGGCTGCTGTGCCACAAACAATTTGTATGACTCAAAACTTGGCGATTAAAAAGAGTGGCGGAGAGTTTCTTGCCCGCTATTTACCCTTGACTTGCGAACTAATAGTAAATTTAGAAACAATTTAACATCTTTTCTGCTGGCGTTCATAAGTGTACTTGGTTACCTATATGAATAAAGTTATTTTGAGTTTGAGTTTGATATTATTCTTAACGATTAATGACAAACATTGTGATATCTCATTTTTACGTGTTAGGATGAAATTAGAAAATAAAGGACAAACATATTTGCAATAGATTTAACGCGGTTTCTATTCGTTAACTACACAGGAAGAGCAATATTTATCTATCTATTTAGGTAATTAAGTTTTGTATGAAAAAATAAGTTACAAAACTTAATATTATTCCTTTGTGTGTTAAATGTGTTAAAAAACTTACCATACAGCCTTAGTGGTGGGTTTACTTATTCCGTGTCGTATATTTGCTTCAATAAACTCTCCCCAGGTCACGGGCGCCTGAGCACCAGATACGAAATTGTAGATTGGTATGTCTGATGTTTGACTGGAAAAATGTGAATAATATTAGACAAGTTTGAATTGTTTGTTTCTATTTTATTGGTACATATATAATTACGAGATTAAATCAGAACAGTGGACTGGAGATGGGTTTATAGCGACACCTACAATCACTGTGATGACGAAGACTGACTACGTAGTTATTATTACTAAGGATATAATACAACTACTTGACCTTAGCCACTAGGGCCTTCGGGCTGGCCAGCCAACGGTTAGACTGCACGAGGACCCTTTAGGTTAATGGAACAGTTCACCATCCTTCCACCACAACTTTATTAAACAGTCTAAGTGAATTCTAGATACACGTCGAAATATATGTTTACTTTCTACTGTTTATCATCGGTTTTACATACATTTGATTTAAATTTCGGTGTTTTCCAATCCCCAGTTAAAGCAAAATCGATATTGTACATGAAATCTGCTTCTAAGAAAACTCATCATTTAAATATATGTGTCTAGCTTATGTCCCCTGTGTAAGAGGGACCTAATTTGTTTACTAAATACCTATTTTTAAAGTACCTATTGGTTTAAAGCACAAATATCATAATAATTTAATGTTCAAAACTGATTGCTTGTCTGATGTTTTATTTATTTATAATATACTTCGCTGGCATAACTATACCATCTGGGGCCCGTGGCAAATTCTTTTGATGGGGCCCTATCAGTAAAAATCGTCACATTAATAATTAATTTTAATAAACTTTGAGATTTTCAGCGTACTCAAATACATGGTATATGTCCCACTAATGACCATAGGCCTCCTTTCTTAGGCGAGAGGGAATGGTCTGTAGTCCCTACGCTAGCCCATTGCCCATCATTATTGGAGACTTCAAATTCATTCATAGAACATAATATCTCAAAGGGCCCTCTTGGGTCGGGGCCCGTGGCATTATGCCAGTCCTGCCACCCTATTGTTACGCCACTGATATACTTAGTAATCACACATAAACATATTATTATAAAAGACATTTAGACAATACACAAAGTCAAAACAGTTATAGTACAATATACAGATATAGTTTAGAAAATATGAATTAATAATTGTGAGGAGAAGAATCTCACTTACTTCTCTTTAAAGTTATTAGCAGTGTGGTAGGTGGAGGCTATGATCGCGTTCACCGTCAAATCCACCGGCACCATGTCCGCCAATTTGTCCAAATCCATGTACATTGTACGTAGAACCTGATACATATTTTACTTATTTAATCGGTAATCTATAGATATCTCTTAAATGAAACAAACAATGAAACAAACGATTTCTTATATATAAAGTCATCCTAAAGCCCATTTGGACATATGGCCTCCAACTGTGGGGCAGCGCAAGTGATACCAACATAAATATACTCCACCGACAACAGAACAAGATCCTAAGAGCAGTTGCAAAAGTACCATGGTACATAACCAACAACGAATTTCACGAACACCTTAAAATGAGAACTATCAAAGAGAAAATCTGGAGACTGGCAGCTAAATACAAAGAGCGGTTAAGCTGTCACCCGAATGAACTTGCTCGCCAACTCACCATTAGACAGTATGTGAGTCGACTGAAACGTCACCATATTCTAGAGCTAGAAGACAGGCAGTAGCTCTAAATTCCATGGAAGTCACTCCACATGACAGTACCACAGAAAAAATTCGCTCATAGCCTTAGGGCTGATTGCAAATAACCGCAGAAAAAAAATGCGACAATTTGAGGTTCTAAATTCTTAATAATACAAGCTCAAATTAATTTGCTTAAATTTTTAATTTTTAATTTTATTTAAACTCAGTGAGAAGTTAAGTAAAATGTCGGCAACGCACTTGCCCTCTGTCTTCTCTCAACTACCTTTAATGCTGGCAGCATTTCTTCGCTATATTGCGGTACTTATTCGTTGAGCGAGGAAAGCACCATAAAATATTAAAAAATCATTTTTGTTATAACTTATTTGTATATACAGACTACCTTAATAATGATTTATCAGACATTTCATAAAATACAGCAGTTTCATTTTAAAAAACGTATTTGATTACACGTTACATGTTTACAGCTTAATCGATGTTGACTAGAACAGTTATTATATCTTGGCGAAAAACTTTGAAATACAAATTCATGTCTAGATTATAGGTACTTCATAAGTCATGGGCTGACAAATTGGTTGACAAAAACGACTGTTTTTACAAATTTTCAAGGTAGGCTGTGAAGTTTTACAATTGTCATGTCCAAGATTTTTTTACAATTCAACAATTTAGTTGAATTTGCACGTAAAATAATGTTATTGGATTTGATTTTTGATTATACACAAACCATCCAGTTCGCAGCCTCCAACCAGTAGTAGGACTGACATGACCATGATAGGGGGAAGAGGACATTTTCTACAATTTCGCTCTTTTCAATCATAGTATGAGCTGAAGGTGTAGAGGTCTATTACTGGTTAAAGTAAAGTAAAAAATCATTTAATCACATAGGTAACATAATGTACACTTATGACTTGTCAGTAAACATATTAAAGCTTCTAATTTTCCATTTACTGCCAGTTCTCAAATCAAGGGCGTAGAACGGGAGAGAAGAACTGGCAATAAACTCTCCGCCACTCTTTTTAATCGCCATTTTTTTGTTTTACAAAATGTTTGTAAGGAGCTGCAACCATTACACCATGTCCAATGTGACATTTTAAGTAATTTATAATAATAACATAAATTAAAAACAAAGATTTTTCCTCTATTAGCAGAAGGCATGGTGAAATAGGAGCACGCACTTACATTCTCGTCTGAACAACACGCAAACACATAGTCGAAATAACCAACATCACCGCATACACGAATTCAAGTACGACCAGTCACCGGTTGGTGTACATCGAACTACTTTTTTACTTCTAGAATATGGAAGTTTGCTACACCAAATGTAGAAGTGATAGGGGAGAGTCATCGGCAAAATTTGTTGCAGACTTCTATCTGTAAGACATCAGAAACAGCAGAATTTTTTTTGGAAGGAGGTAAAAAAATTCGCTTCACCAATTTGCTGCCCCAAAAATCTGCCGTCCCAGGCTTCAGCCTACTCAGCCTGCTGGTTAATCCGCCACTGGGCTAATATTGTATTTTTGAACTTACCCCAGTTCCTATTCCGACAACTAGTCCCGTCGGTCCGTACACACTGTCCGTCCACCCTCGTACTGGCTCCTCATATGTCGAGATCACTGTATAAATGTACTTAAGTTATAAAAATACACCTTAAAAAAACTAATTTTAAAATTTGGAGCAATATTCCACATATATTATAAACGCGAAAGTTTGTAAGTATGGATGGATGTTTGTTACTCTTTCACGTAAAAAACTACTGGATGGATTTTAATGAAACTTTACAATAATATAGCTTAAACATTAGAATAACATATAGGCTATAATTTATAAAGATATTGTGTGAATTGTCTAAAATACCAAGTAAGTATAGTAATTATGACATGTTATTGTTATATCTTGTCCAAAAGATTCACTTACCAATAGATGGTCTGAGTATGGCAACAGGCATGCCCTCTCCATACTTTCGGACGGCCTCTTCAGCGACGGCTTTCGTGAAGCAGTATGTGTTTGGCCGGTTCCCAAGGAGCCTGGATTTGTACATTTCCATTTAAATAGTTTTAAGAATAACCTTAAAAGAATTAATAATGACAACGAAGTGATACTCATAATTATTAAATGTTCTACGAAGAGTATCTGTGCACATGATTAAAGACAACTTAGAGAATAACCGCGGACATAGATTTGGACCTTGTAGGAGCCATCTTTGTAAAACGGAAGTTAAATAGGTATTTTGAAATAATATGTTAGAGCATTGAAGTTTGGTTGAAGGCTCAACCCTGCACTTCTGTAACCCTCGCATCGGCGGTCGCTCTGAATCAGTTTAGTCATTTTGATTTGGCATTCTGATAAACAATAAACTACAATCTCCCGCCTTTTTAGAATGCCAAATCATAAAATGACTGCTTCACGACTGATTTGAGAGCGACCGCCGATGCGAAAACCGCTGTGTGAGTTCGAAAAGTGAGTTACAGAATCGCAGGGCAGTACTGATTCGTACTGAAAAATATATATTTAGATAGTTAATTTATCATAAAGAATACACTGCTACCAGCATCAACTTCTAAAACATGGGCAACGCTTTCGCTCTTCTGGCTGTGTGAATGTCCATAGGCGGTGGTATCACTTACAATCAGGTGAACGTCAGACCGTTTGATCCGTTTTATAAAAAAAAGGTTTTCCACAACCCCTGAGAGAGAAAATTCTTACGTAGGCAATATTGGATCAATAACAGAGTCATCTAACTGCGCGACCGCTTCCAAAGCTTCCACGGTCATTGGTGGCTCGTAGAATCTGCAAATAATTAATAACTAACTTTCATTTTTAGATTTCCACAAATATTTCAAATTCAAAATTAGCCTAATCGTTCCAGCCATTTTCGAATTATAGTGAGACAAAATAACAGCAATTCATTTTTATTTATATACATTATACATGGATGTATATAATAAATATGATTAATTATTAACTTACTTTTCTTCAATGTGCTTCACGTGTGTCTGTGAAAAAGCTGTAGACACATGGGTGAGTGCCTTCAAATGCTTGCATTCTTTAGCCAATTGTAGCACCGACTTGGTCCCTCTTACGTTGATTCCCGTCGCGACTGAAAGCTTCTCGTCGAACTTTACTGTGGCCGCCGAGTTTATTATTATTGTTACCTAAAAATTCACAACAGTTTATGTGACTTAATGACAATCTATTATTTTATTGTTGCTCTCAAACATGACACTTGTTATAATGAGGACTATCAGACACTTATGAAAATATGTTATAAGGATATACACGTGTAAAAATCAGATGAGAACTTTAGGCGTAGTGCTAACCAGATCCATGCAACTTCCTCACAATCGAGTATCCCGCAATATCACAGCACACAACTCTTGAGGGGATTCTTTGTATCGAAGCATGGGTCCGCAATTAGCAAACAGCAATTATGTAGGAATATAACAATGTAAAAGAAAATAATTAACACTGCAAGGTTGCTAAAACTACTGCGAGAAAGGCCATAGAGAGATGCTGAAAATGTCCACCGAGTAATTTTTCATCACAGTTTTATTGTAAATCCAACATTATCTCATCAAACGATGTGACTAATGTGACTATTGCCATTAAACGATGAGCGCAAACGTGATACAGTCCTGTAAAATGGATATTTGTTTCTTCAACCATGTACTGCATTGGATTATTTTGGATAACTAAATAGCCCGGCGAACTTTGTACCTAACAGTAATACATGTCGTGTTACAGATTAACTGAATTTAGACTATGTTCACATGTAACGCCAGTTAACGCGCGTCAACGCACGATCAAATTTGAAGAGAGTTCAGATGATGAGCGCTCTTGCGCGTTGCGAGAGTACTCGTCAGTCTAGTTCGGTAGAACGTAGAAAATAGACGTGGAAGAGGCTATTATTTTGTGGTTATATTATAAAGAAAAATATAGAAAAAGAAAACGTACACATTGGGTTCATGCAATTTTGAAAAATAGACCCAGTTTGTTATAAATATAATTCCAAAATTAACAAAACTACATGCGATCGCGATGAAAGCGCGCGCTCAACTGAACAGCATACGGACATTACATTAATATCAAAGCGCGCGTCAACGCGCGATACCTGCGTCTAGAGACTTTTTCTCTGAGCGCCGCGTTAACGCTCCCTAACGCGCGCTCATGTGAACAGTTGTATGAAAATACCACAATGTCAAGTCGCGCGTCTAATTTTTACCATCTGAACATAGCCTTATGTGTTTATGAAAATAATACAATGAATACAAGAAAATATTAAGTTCAATACTATAACTATTTCAATACTCAACCTAATGTGCCTTGATTTGTTGTATGTTTAAGTAGCTTAATATATTTTCCTTAGTTGAGACAAAATAAATTTCTGGACGCTCGTTTAAATATTTGACAACCAATATATATCTCAATCCTTTTTAACTACTGACATTTTTATATATTTTTTAAATATAAAATATGCCATATATGAATATTGTAAATTTATCTGATCGATTCGAAACCATTGCTTAAATACGTTATTTTGTATTGAAATTATAAAGACATTAAATGTTTGATTGGATCGTTAATTTTCCAACGTTTTTAATAGTTATTCTACTATTCAATATGGAAACGAATACAATAAATCAAAAATCATAAAAATCAGTCCAGCTGTTCTCAGTTTATAAGTGTTCGTAGAAACCCTATTATTATACTAAATGGATGAATGTCAATTGAAAAGCCATTGTGGCAAATGGATTAGCGATACGCTACGATGGGTTGTATTATGATGACTAATGATTAATTTCCAATTTTAATCATTCGAAAATTATAATAATTAAAAATTGAGAAATAGACAATCAAAACAAATTTAAAAAGTTTGGTCCCTGTGGCTTACATTAAACTGTGGCAGCATTTCCCCGCTGTATTGCGATACTTGTTCGTTGAGCGAGGAAAGCACCAGCTCTGGGGTCACCGGTACTATCTACCAGGCGCCAACTTAAATATTTAATTAGCGCCTGTGCACTTGAAACCCACGGCCCAAGAGTCTCTACTCCAAAGGGAACAAAACCAACGTTGGAAAAAATTAAATTTGAGCCGTTTTCTATTTATCAATTTTTAATTATTATTATTACTATGTAGGTTAAGAATATTGTAAATACTGTAATTTTTTTTTTTTTTTTATAGACAATCCCCTCCTATCCCATCTAAGCTGTGAAGCTTGTGTTATGGGTACTACCAACGATATACATACATATTATATATAGATAGACATATAAATACATATTTAAACACCCAAACCTAACACAACACCAAATCTCATCACATCATGTTCGTCTCAGCCGGGGATCGAACCCGGGACACATGGATTCGCAGTCAGGGGTACTAACCACTAGACCAATGAGTCGTCCAATGAGACTGTATATCTTTCGAAATAGCACTAGATTTTTAGAATAATTGATATCCCGCCGAGAGAAACGGAAAAGCAAAACTAGAGTTAATATAGAACAAATCAATAATTAATTCATTGAAATAACACCAAAAAGCTGCTCACCCGTGATGTAATCATTTTCCTGTCCTCATTGCTCAAACCTAGCCCAGGTTCCTCCATATCACCAACGACGGGAACCACTTTGTGAATGCCCTTTGGATTCTCCTCGTGAGCTCGGTGGAAAACCTTAAAATATTTAGTACATGAGTCAATAGGGAAAACAGCTTCTCTGTGTCTACTTTCAGATACGTTCCATTTATTTTTTATCCGTTTATTTACAAAAGGCATTACTATAAATTGGACTTTAAGATAAAGAACAAGTTGTTGTTACCCTCTGAAAAGGCCAGTAGCGTCTATAAAAAATCAGTTTAGTCGGTGATTGTTTCCAAAATAGTCGGCATATTGCAATTAGTTGTCTGAAGCCGGAATTACATTACGAAATTAGTTGTATGAAACTATTTTCACCAAAAAATCGCGCATGGCACGAAACTCATTTGCATTCATGTAATTAATGCATGTATTACGAAAATATTAAATTACACGTGAAACTATTGGTGAAACTAATGCCACGAAATTAATTTCATGCCACTAATAAGCCAGACCTCGGGAGGAGGTTGGCTCCCAGTGGATAGTGAGGCCAGGACAGTGTACTAGCGAAAAATGAAGGAGGCCTACGTCCAGAAATAGAGCAAATAAAGAGGCTGATGATGATGAAAGAAATGCAGTCTATATTGCATACAAAAAATATAGTATTTTTTGTTCTAATCTGTGGTTTTCAAGTGCATCTAGCAAGCACACGTTAAAAGCTTTTCTTATGTATACTTACGAAATCATCCAACATATCGTGCAATCTGGAGTGTGGATCTTTACCCTTCTTTGGTCGTACAAGAACGTAAATTGTGTCCAAATCACCACATGACCGTAGGAGTTTCTCTATTAAAACTGAAACCAAGATGCTAAATAAATAATACTTTATATTTTTTATTTCCTAATTCTACGGCTGTTATAAAAACGATTAAACTAAAGATATAGCCAAAGATGGACTACATAATATATACAAAAAGGTTCAGCCCTGCGATTCTGTAACTCACTTTTCGAACTCACACAGCGGTTTTCGCATCGGCGGTCGCTCTCAAATCAGTCGTGAAGCAGTCATTTTATGATTTGGCATTCTGATAAACAATTAACTAAAAGCTTCCACCTTTTCACCGCTGTGTGAGGTCGAAAAGTGAGTTACAGAATCGCAGGGCAGATATTTAGAAATCGATAAAAATTATTAAATACATTTAACTAAGTAATACCTAATTCGGCTGTGCGATGGTGTGAAAGTAATTATGTACGTAAGTACTTTTAAATGTAATTAATTTTTATTTTAGCAACTAATAACTAATACTACATGTGTCAATAGTAAAGTATAGTGCGGGTACAGAAACCACATAACAATATGAAAAGCCTTAATGACAGTAAATTTAAATACACATTTTAAGTAATTGAACGGTAATTGCATATAAATTAATTATTTTTTGTTAATGGATCACTGCGATTTCTTGTCCACTATTTTTCCTACTTCCCGAGCACGTGTTTACAAGAAATAATGATTTAAAAGTGCTATGGAAAGAAATTTAATAGAGGCTGACTTTGACTTCGAAGTAACTTTTACGCCAGAGATAGAGAACGCAACCTTTCTAAATCCAGGCTTTTGAAAATTGAGGTTATTTTGACCAGTATGTTATTATCTATGTTGTTAAGGCTTTCGATCACAAAATTTTGTGATTGTAAACTGTTTTATTGTTCAGAAAGGATGATAAGTGTTTTGGTTTCACTATAGTGTAAGTGTTGCTCGCTGATGGTAAGAATTAGTTTTTTGGCGTAATGGTTGCAATTCCCGACAATATCCTCGTCAAACGAATTTGGCGAAAATACTAGCGGAAAGTTTCTTGCCAGTTCTTATAACCTGCTCGGCGTTCTTGATTTGGAATTTTTAAAAAAATGATTTGATAAGATCTAGGGACCAGTTAATTAACCGATTTTCCACAAGGTAATAAACAAAAATAAAATCTTGGAGCGCCTAATACTAATGTAAACGTAACTTAAAATCATTAAAAAAATGACTTAAAATGACATTTCAAAAATCTTTTTAACTACTAAATATATTTCGCAATCACTACTAGAAGCATGCACTAGAAGAAGTATTTGTTTACGATTTAACGCAATCCATATCTAACTCTGAAAATAGCTTTAAATACTTTAAAATGAGGTCTAATTACAGTGAGTTGATTTTACAGTTTTTTTGTAGCGATAGAAAAAAATAATTAATTAATTAATTACAAATCATGTATATTTATTTAGATGTTGTATTTTTAAAATATTCATCGGAGGTACGTGCATTTTTCAATCGATATCTAGGAAAGTTGTTCTTAAGAGAAAATAATTAATATAGCAAAAACAACGTATCGCTCGCTTTAACTTCTAATTGTTAGTGCCTATAGTTATTTTTTTAATTTGTAAATATTTTCAGGTCTGTTGTCCTAATTAATTTCTAAGTGGGCACCTGGTAGATAGTACCTGTGACCCTTGAGCTAGTGCTTTTCTCGCTCGACGAATAAGTAACGCGTTACAGGGAGGAAATTCTGCAAGCGTTAAAGCTACACCGCCACTAGGACCAAACTTTTTACATTTGGTTTAACTTGAAATATTATTATTATTACTATGTAGGTTAAGAAAATGGTAAATACTGTATATTTGTGTGTTCGAAATAAATTATTAATTTCTTATGACTGTTTATTTTGTAGTTTTTATTTCGATTTGCAATAAATAAATAAACTTAAATAAAGTTATAGCGGATATGATATTTTTCACATCACAAGAATAATCGATTAATTTACTAAATATATTGCTTTTATATTGCTATGTAATACGATATTATTTATTTTTATTAGAAAAATATTAGGTCCTTACGCCATATGAAATTGGCGTATTTCGTACTGGCCACTTTAATCACGATGTTCTCCTCTTTGGTAAGGAATTCCAAATTCAAATTTGTACAGCTATTTACTCATGTATTTGTGCTTCGATGACCGTCATTCATTTGTTTTTTTCTTCTGTTTTTTTCTGTTTGCGTCACTCATTTTACAAAATGGAAAACTTAAAGTATCGCATTATTTACGAGTACGAGTTCCGCCGTGGCACTAGTGTTGCGGAAACGACTCGAAGGGTGAATGATGTGTATGGCGGTCATGTTGCAAAAGAAAACACAGTTCGTTCAGTTTGGTTCCAACGTTTTCGTTCTGGAAATTTCGACCTGCAGAACAAGCCCCGTGGACGGCCTGAGACCCAAGTTGATAATGAAGTATTTAAGGCTATTGTGGAAGCGGATCCATCGCAAACCACGTCCGAGTTAGCTGCAGGCTGCAGTGTTAGTGATAAAACTGTTTTAATTCACTTGAAGCAAATTGGGAAGATTAAAAAGCTTGAAAGATGTGTACCTCACGAATTGACTGAAGCAAACCGGCAAACGCGCGTCGACTGCTGCGTTACATTACTGAACCGGCACAATAATGAAGGTATTTTAAACCGAATCATTACCTGTGATGAAAAATGGATTCTTTACGATAATCGAAAGCGCTCAGCACAATGGTTGGATCCTGGCCAGCCAGCCAAATCCTGCCCCAAGCGAAAATTAACCCCAAAAAAGTTACTTGTAAGCGTTTGGTGGACTAGTGCCGGTATTGTTCATTGCAGTTTTCTCAAATCTGGCCAGACTATTACGGCTGATGTCTATTGTCAGCAATTGCAAACCATGATGGAAAAGCTAGCGGCTAAACAACCTAGGCTGGTCAATCGCTCCACGCCACTGCTACTTCACGACAACGCCACACACTGCACAACAGACGGCTACCAAATTAGAAGAGCTTCAATTGGAATGTCTAAGACATCCTCCGTACTCCCCGGACCTTGCTTCCACAGATTACCATTTTTTTCGAAATTTGGACAACTTCTTGCAAGGGAAAAAATTGAACTCTGATGGGGCAGTCCAAATCGCCTTCACAGATTTTATTGATTCCCGTCCGACTGGTTTTTTAGTGAAGGGAACAATGAACTACCTATGAGATGGCAAAAGTGCATAGAAAACAATGGTTCATACTTTGATTAATTAAATATATTATATTTAAAAATATTCGACTTTTTGTTCCTCCCATACAAAACGCCAATTTCATATGTAAGGACCTAATATAAAATGTCATCGGTCAACGGTCTGGCTTATTATTTTGAAAATATTATCCCACGCCGTTCAATCAATATTAGGGTAAAGATACTGTTACTAGTAAAATAAGATAGTAAAACATCTCAAATTTAAACACTAATTAGGAGAATAACACTTCAAGTTACATTTAAGTTTAGTAATTCTATATACGGCCTCCTGACGTCGCTCCGTGAAGCCTGCGAAATCTCTGAGCTTCTAGAAGGAGCTAGGCGGGCTAACTAGCCAGAACATATCGCACAACGAACCAAAAGTGCGTCTAAGTGCGGAGGCCTCCTCCAAATCCAAATCGATTCTTTGATTTGATTTGTTTTTTTTTTAGAACAGGAGGCAAACAAAAGCCTTGCCTGATGTTAAGTTATATCGCTGCCAATGGAAGCTCACACGGAAGCTTTCGAGTGGTTTGTTGTTATTTGCGTTGCGCGGCAATAAATTAAGAAAGTACTCATTGACAAAGCTTCTCCATAATAATTTGCGTTAAGTGAGTTACTGTTATTGTTGCACTGATAGTAAGGGTTAGAGCATCTATACTTATTCAAAATAAAACTACAATGCAATCATTAAATAATATAATTAAATAAATCAAACACCGATTCCAAATGAAAGATAATAGTAGACTATAGTATAATCTTTTCTACCACACGACTGGCCTTGAGACTGATTCTTCCATCTGAAATTTGTGAAAAAATAATTAAAATACAATTTATAATAGATGAATCTGAAACCATATGAACCTTTTGAGGTCTAAGGCAATGTTCAGATTGGGGCTTCGTACTAGGTATGTCAAATACATATTATGGTTTTTGACATACTCAGTACGGCAAGTCTCGACTATTTGCTACCCTAAGACTTGTAGTCTTTCTGAAAGGTTTTTTTCTGATTCTAGAATCTGTAAAAACCCCGTATGTCAAAAAATCATTTATTTGTTACTCTTAGACTCTTATTACATTTAACTGGTATTCATGAAGTAAGGACTTATTTGAATCGGTAATTTCAAAAAGAACATTAGTCACAATCGGCTTACTTTTCAGGAGACATAAAAAAATGATTTCGCAGAGTATTTTCTTTTGAAGTCTTGTAGATTTTTCTCACAAATTATTGAATTAATTAGTCTGAAGTAGCACATCTATAGTTTTTTATTGTACTACTTGTATTTTTTGAGATATTTACATTTATAATATTTGGACTTGTTTTGTTACTGCAACTAATATGGGAAGAATATTTTATTTTATCACTTATCCTATATTATATTATTCCATATCATCCACTGTTGTTGTTGCCCAATCAAAATATATTGTTTGATAAAATTCTATATAAGTATCAGGAATGTAACTTTCTAATGTAAGTTCGGGACAAATGTTCTTTCTGAAACGTTATTTATGTTGTTTCTGCAAAGTTCTTACACACCTCAGTGGGACTAATGTTGTTTCTGCATCTACTGACATTTTCAATCCCACGTAGCTCCATTGATATTCATCGGACTAATGTTCTTTCTTTAGGGATTTATAGATCTACCCTCAAGGGTACCATAGACAACAATAACTCAAAACACACAAATTTGGACTAATGTTCTTTTTGAAACTACCGATTCATTTATGTTATTAATAAATAAGTCCTTTTTACCATATAAAACTATGGATAAAAACACATAATATTTTTTTTATAATTGACGAAATGAAAA